TCAGAGTTGGACAGTTGATCAGATATATGCTGAAAGTGACTATCTGTACTGAATGGTGAATCAGATATTATATGAGAATCTATCAGAGATGCTGATTGAATACTACATCAGAAAATTGACATAGATGTTGAGAGTAATATGAGTGTCATTGAGTCTCTGAATATGCTGAACTGAGAATATGATAATTGAATCAGAGCAGAAATCTGACAATACAGACAGATCTCAACAGTAGCATGCTGACTGTCAGATAACAGCACATTTGATTGAATTTCTGGAGCAAAGAACTGACTATTCAGAACAAAAACATCTGTCTGAATCACTGAAATAAACTGACTATCTGACATCAGTATGTCTGTCTGATCATCATTGAGATTCTGACTAACTGATGGTTTCAATTCATCTCTTGACATGCAGTTATGAAGACAAGACTTCAGAATTCTTAGAGTTTGATTGATCTGGGCTGTCAGAGTCTGAACAGCTCATACAGACTGAGTGACAGACTCTGATGTAAGTCTGCTCAACTCTCTGATAAACTTCTCACTGTCTGGGTGAATAGACTTCCACTCAGCTCAATGAAGAAGCTGTTTCAACAACTGAGCTTCATTTGATATCAACTGACCCAAACACAATTCTATAAATTCATCTTTTGACATCAGAATTAAATATGTGGGCTTCCATGGCATCTCTTAATAATAGAAATCAATTCAAGAGTTCAATCAGATCTGCATCTGAAGAACAACATCATGATGATGCTTAACTCTTGTTTTCCAAACAACAACAGAGAACTTGAATATATTCAGCAATTTAGAATCACACATGAAGCAGCATGTGAAGTCTCACTGATCAACTGTTGACTGTTCAAAGTGATTCAGAATGAGACAACAGAGACAGTCATGATCAGAATTAATCAGTTTGTACAGTACATCTTGAACACAGTCTCATCTCTCAGCTCAGCTACTTTTAGTGCCACTGACAGACTTCATTTCCAGCTCAGATGATAATTGAGCACCTTCAACTGAGCCATCTTCTACAAAGAGACTGTTCATACTGATTGCCACTGACTCAACAACAGTGGCAGCCACACTGGCAGCCATGATTAAGAGACTAGAGATTTATGAATTAGAATCAGAATTCAGTTCAAGAAGCTGTTTGTACACTGATTTGATCTTGCTGTCATCTGAAATTCAAGACTCTTTATAATTCTTCTCAACTAACAACACAAATGTTCCAGACTGACCACTGATCCAAGCAGCTCAACTCAATCACTGCCATAGCATGTTGACTGATAACTCAACAAACATATCATATTAAACACTGATCTTAATATCAGAAACATCTGCACTGTGCATCATGATGTCTGATGTGATCAGTATTCAGATCTGACTATTGGTCTTACAGAACTTCTCATACAGACTGGTCTTGTCATATTTCATTAGACTGACATGGTATAATTTGATGGTGGAGTGAGCCAGAGTAGTGGAATATTCAAAGTGACTGACCAGTCATTCTCTGATCACATCAAGAGTGCTCTCCAGAACATTCTTTTTCATCATAAAGACTATGATTTTAGAGATTCTATCTGGTGTCAGCTCATGGTTCTGAACTGATGATTCAACAGTCATGGCAGTGGCTTTGCCAGAAATCTGTTTAATTATGAAGAAAAGTGACTCAAAAGTATTGAACTTTTGATGTTCAATATAACTGACCAGAATAGCTATCTCAGGCCAATTCACATCAGTATGGATAATATCATAATTCAAGCACAATGAAATAGAGTTCAACATGGCTTTCATGATGGTCTGATCACATGTGACAGTGACTCCAGCCCATGACATCTGGCTCAGCAGTGCTTTGATCATATAGAGACATGAAAATGAATGTCAGAACTTCTGCCCTCAATCTGACATCAGATGCAACTCATCTACAATCACAGCAGTCAAACAATTTTAAAAAACAGAATCTTTGAGAATTGACTGCAGCTTTGGACTGATCAGCAACTCAGAATTTATGTACAGATGAGTATATAAACTCTGCAGCAATTCTGATGTCAGATTTGACTGATTAATGTTATCATTATGTACATGCAGTGAATAAGCTTCAGGCAGAGACTGCATCTTCTGAATCTGTTTGATTCTGATAATATTGAGAGGAAGCACACATATAATCATCTTTTCAGACAACAGAATCAGAAGAGTCTGGGCAATCATACTTTTGTCAAACAAGATCTTTGCAATGAGAAGAAGATCATTTCTTTGATAGAGAAGCACAGTGAGTGCATTCAACTGACACTCTCTGAACTGATAATCAAAAACTGACTCAATGATACTGACTGCATGTGCATGTCACTCTGTTTCATTCATGAAGATTGTCAACAGAACTCAACTCTCATCATTGTGAGCAGAATCTGTCTTCAGTGCTGAGAGATCAGACAGTTGAGCAGATCTAAATCATCTTAGATAAGTTCATCTCTTCTTTGCTGCTTTCTGCAAACTCTTATGATGCAATGTGTACTTCATTTTTCATCAACCCAGAAGCAGACAGTACATCAGACATAGAGCAGAAAATGAAAAAAAGAATGTGTACTTTGATGAAGAAACTGCTTGTCTAGTTGATCAGAGAATTTAAACAATACTCAGCTGAAAGTGATGATGTTATAAGAATCAGACAAGACAGAATCAAAAAGATTGTGTGAAAATAGATAATATGAAATCTCAACAACAAAGACTCAGACCAGTCTACAAAGAAGGCAGATAAGCACTGAAAGATCACTGATTCAGAGAAAAGATGTGTTTATGTACATACTGTCCTTATAGAATAACTAGAGCTGATCAACTGGTATTTTTCAATCAGATAATTAAATGAAAAAATCTGATGATGTGGAGCAGATTGAACAAGAAGCTCTACAGTAAATTTAAACATAATTATAGATGAAGTCTATATAAAAAAACATCATATCAAGTTCTTGAAGCAGCAAATTCAATGTGTGTGACTCTGATCTGGTTTACAATTCTCAAATTTGTATGGCAATTTCCAACTTTCTGCAAAAAAGCTGAAAACCAGCTCAGATGCTGTGCTGATCAGGTTCTGGCCAAATTACCTGAATGGGTTAGTTCAAAACACTAAATTCGCGCTAAAGAACCTTAACAGCACACATCTGAGATGATGAGATAAGGCTCAGATGTTATCTCATCATCTCAGACACATGCTGTTAAGGTTCTTTAGCACAAATTTAGTGTTTTGAACTAACCCATTTGGGTAATTCAGCCAGAACCTGACCAGCACAGTGTCTGAGCCAGTTTTCAGCTTTTTTGCAGAAAGTCAGAAATTGCCATATAAATTTAAGAATTGCAAACTGAACCAGAGCCATGCACATTGAATTTGCTGCTTCAAGAACTTGATACAATGTTTTTTTATATAGACTCCATCTATAATCACATTTAAATTTACTGTAGAGCTTCTTGTTCAATCTGCTCCACATCATCAGATTTTTTCATTTGATTACTCAATTGGGAAATACTGATTGATCAGCTCTAGTTATTCTATAAAAGCAGTATGTACATAAACACATCTTTCTTCTGAGTCAGTGATCTTTCAGTGCTTATCTGTCTTCTTTATAGACTGATTCAAGTCTTTGTTGTTGAGATTTTGTGTTGTCTGTTTTCACACAATCTTTTTAACTCTGTCTTGTCTGATTCTTATAACATCATCACTTTCAGCTGAGTATTGTTCAAATTCTCTGGTCAACTAGATAAGTGATTTCTTCATCAAAGTATGCATTCTTTTTTTCATTTTCTGCTCTATGCCTGGTGTGCTATCTGTCTCTGGGTTGATGAAAAATGAAGTACATGTTGCATCACAAGAGTTTGCAGAAAGCAGCAAAGAAGAGATGAGCTCATTTAAGATGACTCAGATCTGCTCAACTGTCTGACTTTCCAGCACTGAAGACAGATTCTGCTCATAATGACAAGAGTCAGATTTCATTGGCAATCTTCATGAATGAAACAGAGTGGTGTGCACATGCAGTCAGTATCATCAGATCAGTTTTTAATTATTAGTTCAGAGAGCATCAGTTAAATGCACTCACTGTGCTTCTCTATCAAAGAAATGATCTTCTTCTCATTGTAAAGATCTCATTTGACAAAAGTATGATTGTTCAGACTCTCTCAATTCTGTTGTCTGAAAAGATGATTATATGTGTGCTTTCTCTCAATATTATTGAGATCAAACAGATTCAGAAGATGCAGTCTCTGCCTGAAGCTCACTCACTGCATGTACATGATGATAACATTGATCAGTCAAATCTGGCATCAGAATTGCTGCAGAATTTATATACTCATCTGTACATAAGTTCTAAGTTGCTGATTGGTTCAAAGCTGCAGTCAATTCTCAAAGATTCTGTTTTTCAAAATCATTTGGCTGTCATGATCATAGATGAGTTGCATCTGATGTCAGATTGGGGGCAGAAGTTCTAATGTTCATTTTCATGTCTCTATATAATCAAAACATTACTGAGCCAGATGCCATGAGCTGAAATCACTGCCACATGTGATCAGATCATCATGAAAGCTGTGTTCAACTCTATTTCATTGCACTTGAGTTATGATATTATCTGTACTGATGTGAATTGGCCTGAGATAGCTATTCTGGTCAGTTATATTGAATGTAGAAAGTTCAATACTTTTGAGTCACTTTTCTTCATAATTAAACAGACTTCTGATAAAGCCACTGCCACAACTGTTGAATCATCAGTTCAGAATCATGAGCCAACACCAGATAGAATCTCTAAAATCATAGTCTTTATGACAAAAAAGAATGTTCTGGAGAGCATTCTTGATGTGGTCAGAGAATGGCTAATCAGTCACTTTGAGTATTCCACTACTTTGGCTCACTCCACCATCAAATTATACCACATCATTCTGGTGAAATATGACAAGATCAGTCTGTACAAGGAGTTCTGTAAGACTGATAGTTGAATCTGAATACTGATCATGTCAGACATCATGGCACACAGCATAGATGTTTCTGATATTGAGATCAGTGTTCAATATGATATGTTTGTTGAGCTGTCAGTCAACATGCTATGGCAGCAATTGAATCAGACTACTTGGGCCAGTGATTGGTCTGGAACATTTGTGTTGTTAGTCAAGAAGAATTATAAAGAGTCTTGAGTTTCAGATGACAGCAAGATCAAATCAGTGTATGAACAGCTTCTTGAACTGAATTCTGATTCTAATTCACAGATCTCTAGTCTCTTGACTGTGGCTGTCAGTGTGGCTGTCATTATTGTCAGATCAGTGATGATCAGTATGAACAGTCTCTTTGTAGAAGATGATTCAGTTAAAGATGCTCAATTATCATCTGAGCTGAAAATGAAGTCTGTCAGTGGCACTAAAAGTAGCTGAACTGAGAGATGAGATCATATTCAAGATGTACTGTACAAGCTGATCAATTCTGATCATGACTGTCTCCATCATCTCATTCTAAATCACTTTGAACAGTCAACAGTTAATCAGCAAGACTTTATGTGCTGCTTCATGTGTGATTCTAAATTGCTGGATATATTCAAGTTCTCTGTTGTTGTTCAGAAAACAAGAGTTAAGTGTCATCATGATGTTGTTCTTCAAATGCAGATCTGATTGAACTCTTGAATTGATTTCTATTATTAAGAGATGCCATGAAAGTCCACATATTTGATTCTGATGTCAAAAGATGAACTTATAGATTTATGTTCAGATCAGTTGATATCAAATAAAGCTCAGTTGTTGAAACAGCTCTCTCATTGAACTGAGTGGAAGTCTATTTGCTCAGACAGTAAGAAGTTTATCAGAGAGTTGAGCAGACTTGCATTAGAGTCTGTCACTCAGTTCATATGAACTGTTTGGGCTCTGACAGTCTGGATCAATCAAACTCTAAGAATCTCAAAGTCTTGTCTTTGTAACTGCATGTCAAGAAATGAATTGAAACTGTCAGTTAGTCAGAATCTCAATGATGATTGGACAGACATACTGATGTCAGATAGTCAGTTTGTTTCAATGATTCAGACAGATGTTCTTGTTCTGAATAGTCAGTTCTTTGCTTCAGAAATTCAATCAAATGTGCTATTGTCTGACAGTCAGCATGCTACTGTTGAGATCCATCCATATTGTCAGATTTCTGCTTCAGTTCAATTGTCATATTTTCAGTTCAGCATATTCAGAAACTCAATGACACTCATATTACTCTCAACATCTGTATCAACTCTCTGATGTAGTATTCAATCAGCATCTCTGATAGATTCTCATATAATATCTGATCCATCATTCAGTACAGATAGTCACTTTCAGCATATATCTGATCAACTGTCCAACTCTGATTCATAAACATCTCTGGCTAACTCATCTGTCAATGCCCACATCTGGAAGGCTTGGAATCCAAACAAGAGGCTCAGTTCCAGAGTGAAGAAATGGAAATAGATGAAGAATTGAGCAACTGTTTCTTAAGTTGTGTGGATCTGTACATTGATCAGTGAAAGTATTATATAGATCTCATTATTTTCTGGCCAGTATGTATATAAAGCATATACCCAGTTGGCCAGAACTTTGATCATCAGCCAAGAAACACATTTGTGGATTTATAAAACAGAGATCTCATCAGTTTAATGTCAAATAATTGAAATTGTATCTTTTGTCATAGTCATATCATAGATGACTTATTGATCTGGACAGATGATCAGTTCTCCAGACACCATTTTGATGGGAAACATGGTTTTCAAAGAGAGAGGTCTTGAAATCTGATAATCTGACAGATAATGGCTATTCACATATGAGAGCTCTAAACTCAGCTTGACAAATGTTCATTCAATAATAACTCAGTACCAAAGATATATTCTCAACAGCAAACTGTCATCATAACTGTTTCTCCAATCCCTCTTCCACTCTTTCATCTGGCAAGCATGTTCTTAGATATCTGGATGATGTAGTTCACCCACTTACCTCCAGTGACCAGGTTCCACATCAGATTCATGTTATCAGAGTGGAGTGTGATATTTATTTTTTCACTGAGTACAATATAAAATCATATTCAACTGAGCAGATCCTCTATCTCTTCTTATATGAACTTGTGCATGAGCCACACTCATCAGACAAGATTCTGTCCAGAAACAACCAAGTTCTGTTGACATTTCTGAACAACTTCAGATGTCCATATATGTATTCATATATCATTTTCATGTTCTCTTTCATTCTCTCAACTTCTGATATAGTTCTGAGAGTCATTCTGACCAGTTGGTCCTCAGATCAACAACTCTGTCTGTACAGTAGACTGTAATTAAGGATATCATGTTGTTTTGTAGCACATATATGTGTATATTCACTTATCTCTGGCAAACTATCTGGCAACAGTCATATCTGGCAAAATCACCTGACCCACAACACATTCAACACATGTCAGATATCAACAACTTCAGCCTCTATCCCCTCTTCATCTTCTCTTATCTATCAGGCCAACTGTTCATGCTGACTCAACACCCACTCATCTGCTCTCTCTCCTGCCAATTTGTTCACATGATTCTTTTTGATACACCCATTTAGATTAATCTTTTTTGAATTAATATCATTCAAAAATTGCAATGTCTGCCCTCTCTGCTCACAATACATCCTCACTCTCAGAAGCTAAATTGCTCAAATCTGATGAAATTTCACTCCATTCAGAAGCTCAGATGTCAGATTCTGGCTATATCTCAATTTGAAATCATATAAGATCAAGAGACTCTTCAGATTTCCTCTTAACTGATAAGTATCTTACTGCTTGTCAGTCTCTTGATTATTTGGCAAGTCTTACTGAACATGACACCCCCAATAATGGCATCAATCCAGCTCTCTTGAAAAAATATCCTAATCAAGACACAGATCATTTCCATGGTGTGTCTAAATCTGATTGCAGCAATATGCTCACCACTCAATCTGAGTCTGAATTCAATGCTTGACTGAACTCTGGTGATGTTGATATGTTTTGTGATGAATCTGCAACTTTCTCTGCAGATGCTGCCCAGAAGCAACTTCTGATCAATTATCTGACCAACAACATTTCAGATATACTCAACATCTCTGACCACAAGTCTGCTTCTATTTACTCTGATGCAGATAATCAAAACAGATGTGGCATAGAACAGACTGATGCTTCTAAAAGACTCACTATCACAGAACAAGCTGATAAGTTGTCTGCTCAGTGATGAAACATTGTATGTACTGACAGTTGAACCATAGTTGACATATTGCCAGCAACACCATCTTCCAATTGAATACTTCAATTAAAATTTTCAAATCTGAAAGAAGGCAATCTGGCCAATGTGCCAGTTAAATGAACTTTGACAAATCCCAAAATAACATGGGATCAAATTACAAAGGGCCAGTGGTATACTTCTCATGATGAGTCCACTTGAAATGAAATACCCCCAAAAATCATTGATATGCTATATCACATCAACAGAATTCAAGGCATGGATGGTATTGAGCAGATATCAGCATGTACATACTGCAACAAACATGATGATTGGCAGTGCAGGGTCTACAAACTGTCAGTGTGCAAAAATGAGAAACATCTGGACAGTACTTATTCCCACTGCCAGATGAATGCAATCAAATGTGAGTTTACAGACAGCCCTGCTAACAAACATGGCACATCCAAAAGTGAAGAATCTTCACTCTGAAAAAAGAGTCACCAGATTTATGGCTCTCACATCTCAAAAAATATCCACTCTGACCAGCAACAGAATCCCCCTGCAGCAGAGACCTGTTGTGGAATCAATAATCAAGACCAATTCAATCTTGCATGATTCACAGAGAGGCTTGCTCAAATGTTTGACTCCATGCAACTGACAGAGAACAGAGATTTGTTGGAGGTTAATGCACATCTCACACAGCTTGAAAATCAACTGGCTACATTAACCAACATGGTATCCACCTTAATTGATAACTTGTCTGGGATATATCATTTTGAATGATGTTGTGACAGAATTACTCTGTTGCTGGGTCAGATGTCTGGCAATCTCATGTATGTAAATAGAATATGTACATAGCAATGAAAATGACCAATTTCACTATATACAAGTATAATCTATGTAGAAACACTCATACATAAAATCTGATCAGATCCACTCCCCTAAGTATCAAGATTGTTAGATTTTTGATCACAGAAGGTAATTAATTGAGTAATCAATCTCAACAGCATCTTCTCTACATGAATCAACTTCACTCAAATCTTTATTGTTCTCTTCACCAACATCCACCCCACCAGTCTCCAAAATCTTTGCAATATACATGTTGACAGTGGCTACATGGAAGGATAGATTTTGAAAGACTTCAGATGGCTTCATATCAGATAAGAATCTGAGATTACTCTCTACACTAACACATAACTGCTTCAATATTAGAGAAGCAAGACTGCAGATATCTCCACTGACAGACTTTTTAATATGTTTCACATCAGTATACTTCTCATAAGCTTGCTCAACTGTCTGACAAAGCTGATGTGTATATTTTAAAGTATAGATAGACTTTCAAAAAAGCTTCTGAATCTTAAATGTTGATGTTCTTCAAGATCACAGTAATTTCTTCAACTTCAGATTGAGCAGCTCATTGAGTTTATCAGTCTTCATGAAATGTTCAGTGCTCTGATGTACAGTGATGAGACTGTTAGTCAGAACAGTATCTTGAAGCAGCTGATCATGTGTAGAAAAGTTTGTCAGTCATCAGAAATACAACATCTCAACTGCATAATTGAAGTGATGTTGTCAGGCAAAATGCAAAATAGACTGCTCAACTTTTCAGAACAGCAACCCAACATTTTCATGTTTAGTGTCAGTCTTGATCAGCTTATAGATTTTAATAAGATGAAGAAACTGTGTATGAACTGTCATGGTAACATCTGCACAATTCTCATCAGACAGTTATGGCACATCAGAGCTCTGAACATTGAGTTGAATCTTGAAATTAATTTTTGAGTGATGTGCACTGTGATCTTTCATTCTCTTCATCAACTTGTCAGATTGACATACTGACTTCAGTGCAAATGCCATGAAGTATATATGACTGATTAGATCATCAAACTCACTGATCTGCAGATCTGAAATCACTGCTCACACTGCATCAGAGTCTGTAGTATTCAGCACAGTGTGAGTGTCTCTGATCAGTTGCAAAAACATTGCTGTTATATGGACATCAAAGCTATGAAGAACAAGTTCTTCAAGATGATGAAATGATGTCTTCTCACTGAGCAGATGTTATTGATTGTCATGCTCACTGTAGGCTAGGCCTGCCCTAAGAGCTAGTACCTTATTAGTTAGCATAGCCCTAACCTCACTAGTACTTAAAGCCATGCTGGCCTTCTTCCACAGAAGGTCAGTGATGAGTTCTTCTCTTACTGC